TCATTTCTGTTGCATAAAAGTCAAATCAAGGTATTAAAGCATGCTCGTTTCTTCTCCTATTCCTTACAATAAAAAGTATGCAACTGAACTATATTTTTATAGAAAAATAAAAGAAATTCCCAAAAGACCCAGTAACACTCCAATAATCGTGGTGCCTTTATGCTTCAACAGTTTGAACATTAGAGGTATGCTAACTGTTCTGATATTTTCGTTCGTTAGTCCTTGAAATCGGCTTCAGAATTGGACCTTTTCGGCATTAGACTTAGAAGCCAATGATTCGATTATATTTTAGTTAGCTCTTGATGCGCTACAACCGTAATCGCCTTGTCTGTCTGATTATTTGATATTCATTCTTTTCTAAATAACAATATATACAAATACATTCATACATACATACAGGAGCTTCAAACAACAATAATCTCAGTAAAGAAATAGTTTTAATAAATTACTTCAAATATTTATACGCAGAGTTATGCTAGCAAGCAAACAATTTAAGACTTTTTCAATGAAATACTGTTAGCAACAAGGAAAACATTTTCTATATTAGACAGTGTTTGCTCATCAAGAATATTCATAATTCGTTTTTGTCGTCGTTCTCTTGTTCGACCTTTCGATTTTCTTACGCCAGCTTCAGCGTGAAGCATTTCGCCTGCAGTCACTACTTGCTCCTGGTTTAATGATTTCAAAAATTTCTAAATTTGACTTGACTTGACTCAGTTGGGTCACAGAAGAAAGACTATTCCCGGACTATTCCTCTTTTATAGAACATTTCATTGCATACTAGTTGACTGAAATATATGCAGTTTGCTATATATAGTTTATATACATCGAAGTTGATTTCCTTTTCTAAGCGTATAATCTTGTACAATTTTTGTTCATTGTATGGAGGATGTTCTTGATTTTTTACATTTATAACAATCAGGATAAGTCATCGAGATAGGTTGAGACGCATATGGTTGCAAAAAGGGATCCATATTTGTATAATGATTTAAAGTAGCAGTTGAATAAGCTGAACGGAAAAGAAATATATGAATATCTGCAATTTTTAGTGTCTTTCCTTAATTATACCTGTGTAGTTATTCGCTGGATAATCGCTTGCATTTAAAAATTGACAAGGAAAGGCAGCATTAGATGATGAATATTTATTTTATTTTGTATAATTTCGGTTTCCTTGATTATATTGTTGATAAATACATCGCCATATATATACTTGCAATGTGCTCGTATTTTTTAACAGACAGCTTTATAAGAGCAGACATTTTCCTGTTTAAAGGATAAACTCAGAGGTCTGCGATTTTCGCTAATCGATAGCCAATACTTGAGCGGAACTTTTCACAAACGGAAACAACTTTTTAAAATATTATCTTTGGAAAACCAGCTCCGTTCTCAGAAAACTAACATACAATGTCAGTAATTTTCTGCATGTGTAGATAGTTCGGACGTTACTCTACAAAATTATGCAAGTGGTGGCTCTCCAGCTATGTTAATTCAGATAGAGCTCGCTTTCCCCGAGCACGTGTCTATCTCCGAGCACGTGTCTATCTCCGAGCAGACATCTCTCGGAATCTCGAAATGCCATGGAACATAGATAATCTATTACGCTGAGCATAGTGGCAACATTTACTTTTAGGTAGAAATGAATATAACTTCGGCAAAGGCATTTTTGTGAAAACCAGTTTTTCGCCTGTTACTAGCAAAAATTAAAATTTCTATATCTCGATCAAATCTCCCCCTAAAGTCCTCCTAAAAAGGACTAACAAAGATGTAGGGTGTGTTCGTGAATGTATGACTCAAAAAATTAAATATATTGAAAATTTAACCGATGTTACTAAACTAATAATTTATTTCTCTACTCAGATCCTGCTATACCTTATATGGCGGATAAAAGACGTTCAACCGACACCTAGAAAGAAAAATTAACATGTTTAAATGAAGGCGAAGCAATTTTATACGAAGTTCTTTCAGAATCAGACAAGTGAGTATCTGCACTTGTATAAAACAATTGAAAAAGGTAAAGCTTCTTCAATCAAGGATGGCCTCTATGTGGCGATGGAGAGAGGAGATCAATTCTTGTACATTAAACTCTACGGACGTTTAATTAATTATGGAAAAACATGAGACTGTGCAGAAGTCACATTAGGCCAAAATGCCTCACGATTTCTGGAAACCTATTATATAATCCCATACAGTGTTTCTGAAATAATAATTGCTCCAATAATATAATAGAAGTTAACATTTTTAAAAGTCACTTTTCTAATATCTGGGCGATGGACAAAGTTGATCGTGTGATTAGCGAAAATTTAGATAATGGCCATTTTACTCTTGCTGTATTTCCTGATCACTCACAGGCTCTTCAACACAATGCCAGTGAAAACATATTTCTAATCACAGAATACACAGTTACACTTTCTCATCGCTGTCTTAAATATCATTTCGTAACCCGTGAATTCTCTATCGAATGATATACAAAGCAGAGTTGTTAACGAGGAAGTCAATGGGCATTATAAACACGAACGACGTTGGCCTACTGGTTTACTGTGACGCCACCGAGTAATTACCACGTTTGAAGAACTGATGGCCTTTTCCAGTTACAGAGAAGCTCGTTTTACGATATTTTGAAGAAACGTATATTGGTGAACACAACGGATTAAGCCGTGCAAAAGAAAAACCAAAATTAGTCGTTAAACTATAGAATGTTCACGATAACAGGATACAAGGACAACATATAACATTGTTGAGCGCTGGAATAATCTATTCGTGTCTCTGCAGGAATAGGAGAAGAAAAGAGCATGCTTTAATACCTTGATTTGACTTTTATGCAACAGAAATGAATAACTAGAGATAATACTAGTATTTTGTTGTTGACGTTGTTTCGATGCAGTCGTATGCATAAAAACGTCAATGTAGATATACAATCAAGAAATGATTGTGACAAGTTAAACATTGTGATATTCTCGCTAGTTAATCCTTGAATTCGCTTCATACGTATTCACCTAACCTGTCACAATCACTTACATTGACGTTTTTATGTCTACCATTGCATCGAAATAAGATGAATAACAAAATATTACTGTTATCTTTGATTATTCATTTTTATCAATGTGTTAATGCATGCTCTTCGCTTCTCCTATTCATTAGTCTTTCACCTCACGTTGCTGGTGGGCATATCGTCCGTAATAAAAATGGATAACTAAAGGCAATACTATATACAAATACATTCATACATACATACAGGAGCTTCAAACAACAATAATCTCAGTAAAGAAATAGTTTTAATAAATTACTTCAAATATTTATACGCAGAGTTATGCTAGCAAGCAAACAATTTAAGACTTTTTCAATGAAATACTGTTAGCAACAAGGAAAACATTTTCTATATTAGACAGTGTTTGCTCATCAAGAATATTCATAATTCGTTTTTGTCGTCGTTCTCTTGTTCGACCTTTCGATTTTCTTACGCCAGCTTCAGCGTGAAGCATTTCGCCTGCAGTCACTACTTGCTCCTGGTTTAATGATTTCAAAAATTTCTAGATGTTGGGGTGAGAGCAGTCTAGCAGAGACACGAATAGATTATTCGAGCGCTCAACAATGAAACTGCGCTTTCAGTTCTTCAAACGTGGCAGTAACACCATCGACTGAGCAAAACATGAATCATTGGAAAAACATGCTCCATATAACCACAGTGAATGGTACATAATTGAAAAAAGATGCCCGGAATGACCATCGAGAAAGACAGTTGTTGAGCGTTCCAATATTCTCAGCTGCTTTTTTGTGGGGAAAATTAACATCCATTTGTCTCTGGGCCTCGAGTCATATTGTAAAAATGTATGATTTGCAATTGTTTTTGTAAATTTACCTGGAATTACGATTGTATCCATACAATGTACAAGTGAGGTACCTTGTATGGAATACACATTAGGAAAACACAATGTTCTAACATTCGAAGCGAATTCGCCACCATTATCATGGGGCAACACACGTAGTGGACTAAATCTAAAAGACAATTCTCTCAATTTAAACTGACACAGCACGTCAATTAATGTTTCAATCTAAAGCCTAACAAGATTTGGAATGATGATCGAATTCGTACGTGTGCACTTAACCTGTCACAATCATTTGTTGATTGTATGTCTACACTGGCGTTTTTATGCATACGATTGCATCGAAACAACGTGAACAACAAAATAGTTGTATTGTGTTTTGTTATTCATTTTTATTGTGTAAAAAGTCGAATCAGGAAAAGAAGAAAATTCTATTTTCTTGTGCTTGGGAGCTGTAACGTTATGGTTGAGCTGGTTATTAACTGCTGAGAAAAATGATATTATTTGTGTCAATACGTAGGAGAGAGAGAAAATCATCTACAAAAGTCGAGAAAAAAACGGTAATAATCGTGATGGGCAGGCTGAAATTCACTCTCTCCGATCGCCTAATAACAGCGATATATTATATATAATATATCCGATTTCAGTAGTAGTAGTTTGTAAGAGTATTATTCGGGGAGCCAGCAGAAAGCAAAGGTATGTCGATTCTTTTAATAGTAATTTCTTATCATCTATAAATAATCAGCTTTCAGGAATAATATATAAATACAAACAGACGACTGGACAATGTATCCTCAAAACCCAACGGAAGTACCTATTCCGGTGCCATCATCAACTCCAATGTATGTAACTCGTTAGCGCAAGTAGAGATTAAGTGATTAACATTGTAATTTCTTCTAGGAAAGATCGTCGTTGGCTTTCCGCAGTTCCATTAATTGCTGTTTGCTGTCTCGTGTTAGTGGGTTTGCTATTAGCAGCAACTATTGTTTTAGCCTTGATACCTCTGTATCTACCAAAACGTGGTAGTGGAACAGTAGCAGTTCAAGTTAATCAAAGTAAGCCAGAGACTACGTATCTCTTATGATTTGTTGTAATCATCTCCGAAAGATTCGCGCGTCTTCTAGGGGCATTTGTCTCACCAGCTGATATTGAAGAACCCATCGAAAAACACGATGAACAGTGTTCGTGCTATATCTCTTCATAAAAACGCTGATTATGCCCCATTTTCTGACGCCCTTTCCCAAAATCTGCAGAGCAAGGAACCTTTTTAGCCCGCATTTTTTCAAAGCCGTCACCTGTTTGTCCCCGCTAATATGTGTTAACCATCCACTGCAACCACTATTTACTACTAAGCTCTTTTAGATCATGAAGATATTCTAAATGTCAATAGAAGGAGCGCATATTATTAAAAAATGTGGCCCCAATTAAATTAATTTTCTTCTACATGGTAGTTCTTAAAATATTGCCTTGATTATTTTCTATTTCTTGAAATTTTGAAAATCAAATAAAGAGCTTTTTTTCCTGCGGTCCCCTTCAGGAGTTTTTGGTTGAAGAAAACTTTTTTCTCAAAAAAAATGTCTCAAAGGTATCTAAATAGATGGAATTCACTCTGTTGATAATGACTGAGATCTCAGACTTGCACAAAAACTCTTTTATTCGCAAAACTAGCTTTTTAAAAACGGAATGGCTGTTGACACTCCCAACAAGTGTTTGGGAGTGTCGACTAGGAGCTATTGGCACTCCCGGGCGTGTCAACTAGGAGCTACTGACTCATAAGATTCTGATTATATATTAGTATTTTGGCGGGCATCTCTCTCATCTGGGAGGAAGGAGGACTGGTGAATAGTGAAAGTGAGTAAAAAAGCTGAAAATCTTATATATGAAAATTGGTATAACAAAAACTTATAATAAGGGTAACATTTTCAGTGTCATGATGAACACTCAATCGAACGATAATTTCACCACGCAGGTGAGTTCAAAGAAGTTTAACATTGTGGTAGACTGTATAAGTGATCTCCGCAGAGTTGCTTAAATATTGGATTATCTTCTTAATGACACCCGCAAGGGTTGCCAATATCAATTTTCATCTATTAGCTTTTTAGCTTTTTCACTTACTCTCACTACCCACCCGCCCTCCTCCCTCCCAATGAGGGAGATGCCCGTGACGACGCGAATATACAATCCGAATCTAGCGAGTCAAAAAATAGTCCGATGACCGTTCAAACGTCGGACCGCTCATATATCAGATGGCGTCCTTATTGACACTTCCAGCAAAGTTTTTTGCATGGGAGTACCAATAGCTCCTTGTTGACACTCCCGGGAGTGCCAATAGACTCACCCTTTTAAAAAATGGTCCTTTTTTGACACATCCGATTGATGAAGGTGATACTATCTCTGCCAGAAAAGATCAATTCACATGAACACTCATCTAGATGCGTCGAGCAAAGTTAGCTCTATTTGAATCAAATGCTAATATTTGAAGAAAATTTATTTGTGAGTTACAACACTTTCAACATCAATAGAAAATATACAAAAGCGTGCGCATTAGCATTGTTGTTCTCACTGCCATTTCTTAATGAGACTTTACCTCAGTGTGAAAATTTTCTCTTATACGCAACTCGATAAGCTCGTTCAAATTAAGGTAGAAAAATGTGAAAACTACGTGCTTTTTGAGAACGTTCAAAATAATGCGGCAAGATGATGTCCGTTGATATTATTGTAACTTACAAATAAATTTTCTTCGAACTTTAGCATTTGATTTAAATGGAGCTAACTTTGCTCGACGCATCAAGCAATGCATCAACAAGTGCTGATGTGAACTGATCTTTTGTGGCAGAAATAGTATGACCCTCATCGATCGGATGTGTCAAAAAAGAACCATTTTTTAAAAAGCTAGTTTCAAGAATAAAGTGTTTTTTGCGAAATTCGGAGATCCTAGTCATTATCAACACAGTGAAGTCCATCTATTCGGACACCTTCGAGACATTTTTTTTGAGTTTTCAACAACTCAGGAAGGGGATCGCAGAAAACAAACTCTTTTATTTTATTTTCCAAAGAATAGAAAATAATCAAGGCAGTATTTTAGCAACTACCATGGCGAAAAAAGTTAATTTAATTTGAAATCACATTTTTTAATAATACGCCTTCCTCCTTTGATGGCAAAAATGTAATTTTTATTAGGAAACTGCTGAATTTTTTACTCATTTTCTGATAAAGTATGAATTTTGCTTTTAAAAAAGGTTAAAAGTTATTCATAAAGTTTTACGTTTTTTTCTGAACCATCAGTCAGATGGGGTGCAACATTCATTACATGCGATATTAAAGTTCCCGGTCGAAATTATCTGAATATCTCTCAGCGCGATGAATGAAAAATGTGGGCGTCACAATACACTCTACTCATCTTTCAAATAAAAAAGGTGAAAATGCCATTTTTCTCTTCTCTTCTGGAAGTCAAGATACGCTTTTCATCATATATTTTTCAACTTTCTTTAGCATCATCCCCATTTTTTCTGCAATATACGGTCATTAATGCTGAAAGAAAACGAGCGATACGTGAAAAGCGTGGGTTTTCCGATCATTCAAAAACTCATTGTACACAACAAGAAAAACAGAAGACAGGCGTTCAGGTGAGTTACCGAAGCAGAGATTATTAGAGAAGTTTAGTTAAGAAACATTGCACAAATTCATCGTGGAGCTTACTACAGAGCACAGAACACCAAAAAATACTTAACACCCTTTTTATATTTTCATTCAATTCTTCTTTGAATTTTATGGATGCGAGAAAGTTCTTGAAACGCTATACACATAAATGACGGAGTTATAAAAGTTTTGCGAAAAATGCTGAAGAACACGACGATAAATCAATTTTTCAGTATTTTGAGATCTTTTCTTTTCTGTTCTTCAGTCTAAAATTTTGAATTAAGTATGAGTCGAAATTTTAGACTGAAGAACAGAAAAGAAATGATCTCAAATTAGTGAAAAATTGATTTATCGTCGTTTTCTTCAGCATTTTCTGAAAAACTTTTATAACTCCGTCATTTAGGTGTATCACCTATCAAGAACTTTCTCGCATCCCGAAAATTCAAAGACGAATCGATTGAAAACGTCAAAAATACATATTAAATCATTTCATGTTTCGGCATTCCTCAACGTTCCCGTACAACGTCTCGTAAATGTTATCTTTAGATTTGCAATGCATACAATTTCCACTCAAACCAAGCAGCTGTTGTAGTCGACAATATGATATTTTCAACAACCTTTATCATACAGTTTAGTTTACACTACATGCCAGTGTGTACATTAAAATCATGTGAAAATGCAGTGACAGATAGGTGCCAACAAAGGTTCAACTCAGGAATAGGTTCCCAACTTTCATTCACATTCACTGATGACAACGGATTCATATTCACTTTCACCGCGGTGCTATCCTCTTGCTGTAAGTAAAGAATTGTTCAGATCTCACAGAACAGAGGGTACCGCTTTTACTGCAGCACAAAACCCACCACCCATCCATAGCCAAAGTACCACAAATGCCAAATCAACACGTGAGTCAGCCCTGCTGTAGCACATCCCATGAGAGAGCTCGTCCAGCTGATCAAAAATATGCGATTTGTGGAATTAGTTTACAGTTTTTCGCAGACATTCAGTTTTTTACTAACATTTGTAGATGCTTTCTAACTTGGTTCATTGAGCCGATGAAAACAAACAGGTTCGTGTCAGACGGAACAACTGCAGTCTATACGATTTAGATTTCGGAACATACAGAGGAAAAA